CTCAGCACCATTATAGTTATATTCGAAGAAACTATTTAATGCTACGTCAATGTTTCTTTTGAATGACACATCAAGGTATTATGGGGAACCGAAATGACGAAATGCTCTTCAAGTAGACCGCACTAATTCAAGCACATCGCCGCCACCATCCGAACTTATTCTAAGTAACACCAAATGTTACTCTCTTAGACCACCTCCTGGATTATATCTCTTTACGTCTACATGTTTTATTCTAAGCAGTTGAAGAAAAAAGTTCAAAGAGGGAACCGTAAAAAACAGAACAGTCATTATAGTAATTATAATGTTAAGCGACGCAACAATAGTTATTTGTTTTACCTTTAATTAAAAATGCCACACCTTCCTCAAATCTTATGAAATCTGGTATCTCCATAACTTATTCAGCGCTCAGTAAATCGTTGTAAAATTGAAAAATACGAACGTCTTGAGGCCATCTGCTGGCGAAATCGACCGCACATATCACAAATGTATCTCCAAATATCACGAAGTTACTGTGTCTCTGAATGATCATGACGAAAGGGCCTTTCATACCTGATTTCGTTCCTCCAAATTTTGCAGAAGTTGCGCATCTCCTTGCAAACGTTCGCTAACTCTGCAAAATTCCATAGTTTATTCACACAAATGCACTTCGACTGAACAACTCCTAGAACAACAAGATGCTAAAAAGACTGCCTACCCTTGAGTCTGCACACCGTTTTCTCGAACCTTTACAGTCCGTACTTCACAAATTCCACCTTTCGGTATATCCTGTATAATAGCTTCTGTTATACACTCATCACCGTCCTCATTTCTTAGAACATTATCAGGCACTTTTGATTAAGCTTTTGTTGCAAACCTTTGTCATTACTGTTGGGCAGCCGCTCCTGTGTATGAGACAACCATGATATGAATGAGCGCGATGTTCGATTACCTTCGCAATGTCCGGATGAAACGAAGGCAGACGACACCAGTCTCGACCATTTATTGAAACCTTAGCAATACATGATATTAAGTCACAATGTAATTACAATCCCGTTTCGGATGACGTATGGTGACCATGAAAAAGAATATTCCTTAGTCATGGGCTCCATGATTTCAGTTTTGTGCAGTTTTTGCATGCCTTCCATCTTTCTCTTAAATTTGAAATTGTTGGAAATATTGTACACACATGTCCTCACCATTCGTAGATTACGGATGCTATGTGAACGCATCTGAAGTGATTTTCGAGTTTATCCAGCAACATTACACAAGTAAAATGTTGCTAAATTCGATGCACCTATCTACGGAGCTAAAGTTAAAGACCATCTTTCATAATTTTCTATTCCTATTTTTACTTTATTTCATCAGTCTTCACTTCTACCAGATGGATCCCAGCACTTCTTGCATTCGATTCATTTCCTCACATTCATTAGCCACAAAGATCTTGTAACTTTTTACGTGTGGCTTCGGATGCTGCTTGAGGACTTTAATATCATCTTGAATGTTACAGTCCCGTTTCTGGTCGAGTCGATTCACTACCTCAGAGGGATGAAAAGTTTGATTGGCCTGGAGCGGAGTCGAACTAGCACCATACTTGTGATGACCGACATGCCTACCACTGTGCTATTCGCCTCTCCTTTCATAACTTCGTAGTCATTTTCCAAACCATATAACACTGTAATAAAGCTCTACTGATAATATCTGTTCCAATTCTATAAATGTTCGATGTTATTTTTCACGAATGACACTGTTCTGCGATTCAAGTAACCTAGCAAAAGATGTGGCGCACAGTAACACAAGACGTGGTTAGAAGCAGTGTTAATGTAAAAGAGAATCCACAGTTCTGAACAACAACAAATACATAGCAATGAGTGAAAACTCTGCGCCAACTTCTCAGTGCTTTCATTAGAAGGAAGCATCACTTCAGCAAGTCGATGCTATAGCGGATTGATTTCCAACAATCTCTGATATTACGTTCCTGATGGCTCAGACACTTAAGGTCACTTGTTTTCGTAATGGCAAACCACCGTATATTACTCAGAATCGTAGTCAACGTCACGTAACGAAATGCTTGAAATATCTTCGTTTGCTGATACGTTTACATGAGGTTGTTATAAACACTGTGACAAACGTTTCGACGCCATTCTCCTCTTCGGAGTTGCAGTGACCCTAGTCGAATTACTATACCAGTTGCTTCCAGTGCTGCGTTAAGTAATTTTGATAGAACACTGCACAAAAAATGACTTTGCCCGGCACTCCTGTTTTACATGAATTACTTCCTATCATTGAGATGAAGCGGCCTCATACTGCGGTGCCCCAGAGCAGAAAAAGTTCCTCATTAAATACTCAAATCTTAAATTCTGTAGTTACCGTCCAACTAAACAGAGTACTAATAAAGGGCCTTGTGACAAAACTATGAGCCGAGTCTTTCAGTCCTTCGACAGAGCAGAATAGCGTGACTAGCAGTGAAATGTAGCTAGATTGATGCTGATATATTTGCAAAACTCCGAACCTCCGGTGTCTGCGGTAGGGATCGAAGGCGTTATTACCACTATCGGAGCTAACGCGTTCACCACCACACCGTTTGGGCCCTTGGTTTCGCCTTTCTCTCAGCCGTGTTCCATAGGTGCTGTCAGCAATCAGCCGACAACGGGGCTGAACTAGGTAGCACAAATAGGCGAGGATCGCGGACAAAAAGCGACCACTGCTTCCCTGAGACGCACATGGATCCAGGAAATGGGCTCCCTTTTTCTGCTGCGCTGATTTGGCATATACTTCCTGTATTTATGAGACGTATTTATGCTTGCGTGTGCAGTTGCGTTTTCGCTTATACGAATTGTGTTCTACGAGTGAATTCGGCGAAAAGCCTACAATCAAGTGACTGGGAAGTATATGGGAGGCAGTTAGGAGTCGGCTCTGACAAATAAGCTCCATGTCCATTCTGGGAGTGCCTGGCAAGCTGCCCGTGAGTGTACCCAGCCCCCACGTTCAGAGCCCAGCGAGCTACACGTGGGCATCAAAAAGCTAAAAAGTTAAATAAGCGGGCAACATTTCACTGAACCCAAATGAGCCCCCGATTCCGTAGCGCTGGATAGGACGAGTACGGAGAGGCTGCTAAAATCTTAAGGCCAAAGAATAACGTCTGAAGAACGCCACATTGGGACCCACGGATTAGAATGGAACGAACAGGGTGAGCGGCTGTCTGAGTTTATCATGGTGACCAAGAACATGCATTGTTACTCGCCATTCCAAAAGCCCCACCCTCAACGTTGGAAGTGGGAGCCTCCCAGTGAAGTATACTATAACGAAATAGACCATATCATAGTAAGCCAAAGGTTTTACCTTACCGATGTCGCTGTTGTCCTGAAATTCTACGCGGAACTAGACATCGCCACCCTGGACCAAGATTCCACTTCTCGCAGGAACAAGAAAAAGCTGCTAAATTCAAAAAGGGAAGTCCAAAAACCACCATAAATTGGGACTAACTCAATTCACTAGTCGGCTGTTGGAAAGATGCCGTTGTCGATAACATCGACAAAGAATACGATCGGCTCATTCAACGTCTTCACGTTAGCGCTATGAAAGCTCAGAGTTCGAAAGTGGCCAAGAGACGTTTGTTTCTAGAAACACTCGCGCTGATACACCAGCGTGGAATCGCACGAGCTGCAGCCAACCGCGAACTAACGTCCGAACTTGCAAGACAGAGGAGAGAGGTGATAAAAGAAAATCTTAGAGCAGTAGTGGCCGAAGCTGCAGAGGCTGGGAAAAGCATTCGCAAAGCCCACCGAAGCTTCGCCAATTACAAGACCAAAATGATTGCACTCCGACGCCCAGACAGAACAGTTACAGCGTCCAGAAAGGCAATGGAGAAAATCATTCATGAATACTACTCAAATATCTTCGATAGCCACGTCCACATTCATTCATATGAAATAAAGGAGGATGGATACGTTGTACCACCGGCTCTCCCTTCCAAAATCCGATATGCTGATTCGTCGGTGAAAAATCGAACAGCACCAGATCCGGACATGACACACCTGAAGAGCCTTAGGCCAGTCCTCGTGAACACACTGGCTCGGCTCTTCAAACGTTACCTTATTGAATGTAAGGTCCCTACTCAATGGAAAACCAGCAAGACAGTGCGATTGTTCAAGAAAGGTGACCTCCACGATACCGGCAACTATCGTCCAATCTCTCTGCTGTCTGCTTGACAAACTGTTCACTCCAGTCATCGTAAACAGGATTGACAGAACGCTAGACGAAGGGTAGTCATGTGAGCAAGTACGGTTTCGAAAAAGATTTAGTACGACGGACCACATGAACACGATAACAAGACTCATTGAACTATCTCAAAGGTACAGAAGACCGCCCTGTCTCACTTCCATCGACTTAAAGAAGGCCTTTGCCTCGGCTAAGATAGAAGCAGTCATACAAGTCCTTGATAACCATGGAGTCTCAAGTCAGTAAATAAAGATTCTTAGTCAGCTTTACAAGAAATGCGTAACCAAGATACCACCACAACGTTGCTGAGATATTTGCAAAATTCCGGACCGCAGGTGTCTGTGATGGGGAACGAACGCGCTATTGTCCTTTCCAGGGAGTAACGCGTTCACCACCACACCATGCGGGTTCTTTGTTCCGCCTGTCTCTCAGCTATTTCTATTGATCTTTGCCGCAGCGATCGCCCATCAGCGGGATTGATCTGGGTCGCCCAAATCGGCATACGCTTGGCGAAACGATGGACCCGCATGGTGTGGTGGTGAACGCGTTACTCCCCGGAAAGGACAATAGCGCGTTCGTTCCCCACCATAGACACCTGCGGTCCAGAGTTTTGCAAATATCTCAGCAACGTTGTGGTTGTATTTCGCTTAGTACCCTGCCGCGAAATTATAATAGGCAGAAAATAAAAAGGTATAACAAAGATATTACCATTCTACAACGATACTAACATCGACGTCAGAACAGCGGTTAGGCAAAGCGATACAGTCCCGCCAAAATTATTTACGGGCACCCTCCAGAACGTCATGCGAACATCGGATTGGGACAGCATGGGAATGAAAATTGATGGCCGGCAATTACACCATCACTTTGCTGATGACATCGTCCTTATAACACCAAGCATTAGCCAGGCGGAATGGATGCTTGCCGACTTTGATAAGGCCTGTGGAAAGATTGGTCTTCGACTAAATCTCACAAAAACGATGTTCATGAGGAACGGATTGGTTTCTTATGCCCCATTCACGCTCAACGGAACGAATATCTCCGAATGCCCTGTTACGTCTATCTCGGTCGAGAATTCAACATAATGAACGACTTAGCTCCAGAGTTGAGCAGGAGGAAACGAGCGGCTTACTGAGCTTCCAAGAGCATCGAGGAGGTAGTGAAGAGAACAAAGAACAACCGACTATGTGCCCACCTTTTCGACTCAGCGGTATTTCCTGCCTTAACGTATACATTAGGAACCTGGTTGCCGCGTAAACAGGGTGAAAGATCAATTAGTGTTATTTAACGCACAGTCGAAAGGACGATGCCAGGAGTATCCCGTGTCACACAAGTAAAGGATGGGATCGGAAGCTTCGACCTGCGTCAACGATTACAAATCGATGATGCCGTTCTGTACGCCAAACACTCGAAGACAAGGTGGGCGGCACACGTTATGCATATGAACGACAACCGATGGAGAAGAGCCACTAGTGATTGGATTCCACAGGGTGTCAACCGTGCGGCTGGAAGGCCACCTACCCGGTGGTAAGAGTTCTCCGCGAAAAACCTAGAAGAAAGATATGATGCTCAACGAGTTCCTAGAGCGAGTAGAGCCCACCAGAACCCAGTGGGCTACTCTTGCACGCGACGGGGAAAAATGGAAGATTCACTGGCTCCCGCTCGAGTTTAACTCGACGATCAACGGGACTACAGATGATACAGGTGATACCCTGCCATGGAGAAAGGATAGGCAGAAAATAGAATAGTGGTTACAGTGACTAGGTTTGACAGAGCCACATGTGAGTTTATTAATGCTTGGTAGAGTCACATGATAACTATAGTAGAGTGAAAAGGTTATAAGGATTATTATATCTTGTTTATTAATGGTAGTGGAGGTAACTGCTACCTGTTTTTATCATGACAATGGATGGTCACTTTTCGACTTTTTTCAGTTCTGACATAATCAATCTGATAATATAAGTAGCGATACAGGGTTATAAAACTAAGGTTACATTTTCGTTTTTTTTCTGCAGTCCTGGAACTGTCAGTAGGCCATCTGCTGGGTTCGGCTCCGTGCTAGAAGAATTCTTATTGCAAGACAACTAGCGCCTACCGATTTACAAGGGTTGGCGAGTGCTAGTGCTTTACATATTTCGGTGGAACTCACACTCAACCAGGCGTCAACATGCCGTTTAAAAGGCTATTCCATAGACATTCAAAACGATACGCATGAACCCGACAACGTTCATAAATAGTGGTGATAAGACAACGAAACAAATGGAAGAAGTATTGAGGCAAGAATGATATGTAGAGACAAACTATCTAAGGTTAGAGCAAAGAAGTAGGCGCTGTGTATCAATAAATGGGAAAGTGCCAAAGAACGATTAGCTTCCCATAGAGTTGCAGAAGGCACGTGTAGCGCAGTAGGTAGACGATACCTGCAATGCACATAGGATCGACCCCGCATCCAAAGCTTTGCAAACCTTCCATCACTACGGGCTCGGCAACTTGTACCAGTCTAGTCTACGAGGATAACGGCACTGGCTAGAAACATCAGCCGGCTACGGCGTTCCATTGTATATGTCAGATACGTATTCAATAACTTCTAACGATGCTCAATGAGATCGAATGCACGGCACATCGCTCAGGGATTGATCAATGGCACGAGCTCTATCCTTTTCCTTTAGAGTTACAGAAAAATCTCACGAGCGTTCGTTTACAGAGTACATACCTCATTGCCTCTGGATAATATAACATCCATCGCACAAGGCGACTTGACCTCTGATGCTTCCAGACTCCGCCTCCTATGAAAGCAAAACCAGCCACTGATAGGAACAAGTATTAATATACTCCAGCAACAAATTTCCTCACAAGTACGAGTTTTCCAACTCAAGAAGCTGAATTTGTTGTTCGAGGCTTTTAGCATATTGTTGTTGAAAATCCACGCCCTCTCCTTGTATCACGTGTTGATGCTCCACGCTGAAAACGTACAATGTCACATTTGCCTTTTTTGCTGGCAAAAAAAAACAATTTATTGCAACTTTTGCCTTTTAGAAGTACAGGAAAGTCGTTTTTCCATTCTTGAACCTCCTCTTTCTCCCTCTTTAAGTCTCATTTCATCCGGTGATGGAAGGGTACCTCCCACGCAACTTGTATAACCACGACCGAAAAAAAACAGAGAAGAGTGTGTTATCAAAAACTTCCGGAATAATAGTAAAAGTGTAAGTTGTTAACAATAAAAATTAAGCATTCACTATGATAATTTAGTGATTTACCCTATAACGCCGGAATCTAGTTCTTCGACAACTGTAGACTCATATTCTCCACTGCTAGACTATTTCAGGACTTTAAACTTTAGAACTTTAAAGACTTAGAGAACACACGTTTCCTGTCGTTTTAGTCGTACATTTAGCTTTCGAAAAGTATTCTTGCAATTCTAAACATATTTAGAGCTGGGATTCCAAAAAGAAAACCGAGTAAGACACTGAATTTTCTAACGTTCAACGCAGCCACCCGTTTAAGTCAACGATGTTTTGGGAAACACCATCTTCTGCGCTTGTTTGACTGTTTCCGCAATATAGGTTTTGACAAAAAACGGTCAGGAGAATACTTTCCGTGAGAATATTTTTTCTTCTTAGAAAGAAAACCAGAATTTCGCCTGTATTATCTTGATAGAATAAGAAAATTTGTATCTTGTAGGACAATATCTGTAGATACTAGTGGTTTTCGTAACAACGAATAAGAGCTAGTATGAGTTGAGATATTTCACCTTGAAGTTGGAAGCGGCGGCAAATATCTCATTTAATGCATTGTAATCAATGCATGACGGACGTCATGTATCCAAAGCGATTGAGTGCAACTAAGCAGATAGCTGAGATATGACGTTACACTGCTCACCTTTCAATTCGAGAGCAGTCCTCGTCTTTTTTGGAACTTTCTTCATCACTTAGAGACGACAACATTTGCAAAACATTGATGCTGGAAAACAACTTAGCCACTTGACGAAATTTGTGCTATATGGAGAAAAACGAAAATATCAGAAACAAATTGGAATTTAGAAAATCGAATGCTTACGATTGTTAATTAAGGCGAAGACCACCCTGATCTCGACTATATTCACCGTCCATGCAAAAATTTAAAAAAAAGGAAGAACAAGTAAAATCTTATGAAATCTTCAATTTTTTAATTGCATAGGAAAACGAACTAGCACAAGTTAGATCACGCATATGCTGGCAGCTTATTCATAGGTTTTTGTACTCAATATGAAACTCAATAAGATTTTCTTTGAATTTCCTAGCATATTTAAGTATTATACCGATGAATACAGTGGATCGAAATGTGTAATTGGAAATAGATTTTATTTTCGGAAGAAGAAAAGGACACGAGGTGTCCTAGAAGCGCGACGATGACGTTGCTAGGATACACTATAGGTAAACAGACACAACTTGCACACCGATGCCTATGCCCGCACCTGTCATGTTCAGTTACCTGCCTTTTCCGTGTACTCTCACGTAATAGATAACTTATTTTAGATCTACAGACCACATTCTTGTGAATAAGTGCTCGATTTAAAACGGGTAAAGTTAACCGTGTTTACAAATCTAACTACAGAGAAATTTTCTAATAGGTACGTAAACATAAGCGCTTAGAAAAGGCAGAAAAGTGCAGAGCGACACTGGCGGCTATTCCTGTTTTCCCAGAAAATCGTAATATACGGAAGTCACATTGCAGCGAATTCTTAAACGTGGTTTAAAAACTTAGATTTGCGTGGAAAGCATTCCTATTTCCTTCTAGTGGGTGAAAACGAAGGCGTGAGAAAATGTTACAGTAATGACATCGTAATTAGTAATTTAAAGGTCTGTGGAACTATGCACGCAAAAATTCCTCTGATAACATATTAGGAAAAAGAGGATAAAGAATAACGAAGTGAGAATCGTAATTACCGGCAGACAAAGGAAGAGACCCTCTAGTCATCGCGCGTGGTAATTTAGCTTTTTGAAAGGACATCAAGATGGTGTCTTCACTAGCTTTCTGATTGCCTCAACTGCACTATCTGAGGGGATTCTCACTCTGAAGTCTGAACTAGTAACGCCCTAAATTTGTGAACAATAATCTTTGATTGTAGCACATTGTAGTGCACAATATCCGAAAAATAAACCGATACACTACGAATTCTCCTTGACTTTCTTCCTTATTTTCTAAAGAATACCAACTAGAATTTCTTCTTGCTGATTAAGAAACAACTTCCAGTTCCCAAAAAAGCATACTGAAGTAGTTCTCAATCATTTTGAAGAATCCTGTGCTTTGGAATTTTTTTCACGACCTGCTTTTCACAACTACTGCGCGGATCCCAGCACTTCTCGCGTTCGATTCGTTTCCTTGCACACACTATCCATGAAGGTTTACCAACTTTCTACGTGCGGCTTCGCCTGCTGCTTGAGGATTTTCCTTTCGTCATGAATTCCGTTGAGCGCTGGTCGAGTCCATTCTCAATGTAGTTCTGAGTTAGCTGCGGTAAGGCATTCCCACTTGCACAGCTGAGAGTGAACTCTTTCCCAGACAAATCCGGTACCAATTCACCGACCACGGAGGTACGAGAGGGACGGTGAGCCCTGAGAGGAATCGAAGCAGCATCGTTCTCGTGATGATCGGCATCATTACCACTATACCACCCAACCCCTTTGCTTTCGAACATAATCTGGATTTTTGAAGCATTACTTTAACCCTTACGACGAACCATATGGGGATCACGCGTTTTCTAAACTCATCTTTATTTTTAATAATATCGTTTCTGTGGCGCATCGACTTGTTGAACACGGATCGGGAGTCGTTGGATGTGAAGGTGAAAAGCAATAGGTGCGAAGAGCCGGAATTCAATTCGTGAGCGGCTTATCGCTCAGCCTTGAGTGTCAACACTGTTGTCAACTGTGACGCAAGGGAAGCAGAGCAACAGGTCTACTTACACAACCTGCTTAGTAACTTCGATCGGTTTTCAGTCAAATAGACGAAACATATCCATGCAGTCTTCTAACATCTCTGAGTTGGCCGTTGAGAATTTTTTTTGATTGACTATTCTATACTTTGCTCTATACAGTCATAGGTT